TTTTCAGGAATATCTCTTTTAAGGGAGGTAACTTGAAACTGGCAGATAAAATAAGAAAAACAAGACTGCCAAATCTGTTGCTGTTAACTGTGTAGCTTTGAGAGTACAATTAAGAAACTGAATGTAGGTCAAGATCCACCACAGATATATGAGCTGGGGCAGGAAATAACACCCTTTCAATGACAGTGTCTGTGAGGGTAGGTGTGAAATGTTTTCTTTCTTTTCTGGTAATGATTACTGTAAAAAAAAAAAAAAAAAAAAAGACCCAGCCACACTAGCCACATTACATACTGGGAGAAATTAAAAATATTTTACTTATTCTTATTTTATGTGTACAAGTGTTTTACCTGCATGTATGTAAATTTACCATGTGTGTGGTTGGCACCTGTGGAAGCCAGAAGAGGGCGTTGGATCTCTGGAACTGGAGTTAAGGTTGGGTGTTAGCCACCAGGTAGGTCCTAGGAACCAAAGACTGGTTCTCTGGAAAAGCAGTTGAGGGCCCTTAACTGCTGAGCCATTTCTCCAGCCCTTATCATTATTATTTTTAGACAGGCTTTTATGTAGCCCAGGTTGGCCTTTGACTCTTCATCATTTTTAAGTCCACAAGTAGAAAACCAGAACTCGGGGCTGGAGAGATTAAGAACGGTTAAGAACACTGCACTGGTTGTTCTTGCAGAAGACCCGGGTTCAAATCCCAGCACAACTGTCGGTAACTCCAGTTCCAGGGGACCTGACGGCCTCTTCTGTCCTCTGCGGGCATTGCACAACACGGGTGCACTTACCAACATGGGGGCAATACACGTATACACATAAAATAAATATAAAAAAGGAAAGAAAACCGGAACTCAGACAATCCAAGTTCCAGCTTACCAGCTTTTGCTTTTTGTCCAAGCCTCTTTCTGCGGGAGGGACTTTCCTTGGCCGTCTGGACGGAATCTTTCTTTGCCTCACCTGCCTGTCTCCCTCCACTGATCGTCTTTTTCCCGTGCACCCTAAGCTGGGAAAGACATTTGGATAACTGTGCACTGAGGCTTGGGGCTGCAGAGCAAACTTAGTTTTACTGCTTTCTTGAGGTGGCCCTGGGGCTTCGGGCAGTAGCTGGTTGCTTCAGCCTCAGTTCTCTGCTGGGTGGATCTTGGTGTCCCTTCAGCTTTCTTAATCAGATCCCTTCCAGGGTTTGGTCAGGTTTGGCTACACTTTTCTTGTGCAAGTGAAGTTTGGACAGCTTTCCGGGTGCAGGGAGATTAGCTGGGAAACCCACCAGGCATGCCACAGAAAGTAATGTTTGTCATGTCCATGTGGAGGTATTTCTGCAGAGCTTAGCTTCATATTTGGTGTTTATCATGATTTTTGGAATCTTGCTTTGAGTGCTGAAAATAAAAGGAAACTTTCTTCTTATTAGCTGGGCTTGAATACTTTTCCAGGAGATTTGGTTCCCTTTTCTTTCTTCTTCCTTTCTAAAGATTTGTTTATATTTTAATTCTATGTGTGTTTTGCCTACATGTATATAAGTGCACCACGTGTGTGCAGTGCCTGCAGAGGTCAGAAGAGGGTGATGGGTCATCTGGAACTGGAGTTACAGTTGTAAACTGCCATGTGGGTGCTGGCAACTGAGCCCAGGTCCTCTGCAAGAACAGCTAGAGGTTTTTTTTGTTTTTGTTTTTTTTTTTGGTCTTTTTGAGACAGGGTCTTCCAGTAGCCCCAGCTGTCCTGGAACTCACTATGTAGACCAGGCTGGCCTCGAACTCACAGAGATCTGCCTGCCTCTGCCTCCCAAGTGCTGGGATTAAAGGCATGCGCCACCACACCCAGCGAACAGCTAGTGCTTTTAACCACTGAGCCATCTCTCCAGTCCTTCTACTTTGTAGTTTGAGACAGGAACTCTCACTGAACCTGGAGCTAGCTGATTAGGTGAGGTTGTCTAGCCATCAAGATCCAGTGATCTGCCTGGATCAC